TTACAATAGCCAAGATCTGGCAACAGCCCATCAATAGATGAGTGGTTAAAAAAGTGGTGGTACATATATACAATGGAATATTACTCAGCCATAAAAAAGAATGAACTCTTACCACTTGCAACAGCATGGATGGGCCTAGAAGGTATTATGCTCAGTGAAATAAGTTAGTCACAGAAACTCAAATATCATGTGATTTCACTTATGGTGGAATCTAAAGAACAAAATAAACTAACAAAATTGAAACAGGCTCACAGACATAGAGAGTGGACTGGTAGATACCAAAAGGCAGGGGGGTTTGGGGAACGGGGTAAAAGAGCTGAGGAGATTAAGAAATACAAATTGGTAGATACAGAATAGCGATGTGGATGTTTACAGCTTAGGGAGTACAGGGAGTATGGTCAATAATATTGCAATGACTAGGTGTGGTGCAGATAGGTACTGGAAATGCTGGGGGAACGCTTTGTAAAGCATATGATTGTCTAAGGACTATGCTGTACACCTGAAACCAATACTTAATAATATTGGAAGTAAAGTGTAATTGAAAAATAAAAAAAATTAAAATACACACACAAATACTACTTCAATACTATCATTACTGCTACTACTACTATTTGCTTTTACTCTATGCTTACTATATCCAGGCAGTGAACTAAGTATATTACTTTCTTATTTCATTTATCTCTTTTAACAACCTTTTGGGATATATATAATTTTTGTTCATGTATTAACATACTTGTCTAAGATCATGTAACTTCTAAGTGGAAGGTCTTAAAATTCAACCTGGGCAGCCTTAGGGTATCAATATAGAGTGAGATTCAATGACTATTTAATATTTTAGAAAGTATCTTCATACTGATAATTTTGAAGTTTGGAAACTTTTCACAGTAGGAAATCAAGTTGCTTAGCTGTGTCTGCTAGGCTTTTATGAAAAATAAATATGGTCAGAAACAAGTAACCCAGGGAAGTTTGATGCTTTTGCTTTGTTTTTCTAATAAACATAAAATAGAATTCAAGTAAAATAAATTAAAATAAAATAAAATGTTCCTGGAAAAAGTATGGGTAAAGCTATACTAATATTAATTCATGGTTAATGGGTAAGATTATGGGGGATTTTATTTCTGTAATTTATAAATTTTTATAATATATAAATACTATCTTATTTTCTTTATCATTAGATTATTCAATTATAGAAAATATAAATTATATATATGTACACACACACACACACATATGTAAAAAATCAGTTTTTTCAAATGCTCCAAACCCCATCAAAGTGGGTTAATGCAAGAAATTTAGTTTGAACCACTGTTGAAACACAATTGTTACTTAGCAGGAAAGGGGAGATCCCTGAGAGGCTCTTAGCTTTCTCACCTTAGTAAATAGAAAGGATTGGTTTATTAGATTTGCTAATTATCAGCTTGAAAGATAGGAAGACCTCATGCAAATTCCTGGGGAGAGTCAAAAGGACCAGAAAGAATGGAGACAGGATGCCAGGAAGCACTGGCATAGGGAACCGTGGCAGAGGTGAGTATTCCTGGGGGAGGAGTTGACAAGATTTGCCTGCTTTGTTTAGCATCAGTCCTGCATGTCAGCAAATACATGCCGTGTGGATCCCGCCAAACAGGGCCGCTAGCCAACCCGTGAAACAGGAATTGAGGAAAGATAGCTAATGTTTGATGGAGATAAGGAGTTTCTTCATGGATTTAAGATAAGCAGTCCTGTTTCAAAACTACATGCATTCATTGTCCCTGGCTCGGGGCTGCCATGGCATTTTAACTAGTGACCTTTAGACGGCGTTCCTGTGTGCAGGGCCCCACCCTGGGGCAGCCTTGGAGAATGAACGGGGCACATTTGCTATCAATGGCATTTTGAAGATGTCATGGCTGCCTTAAAGCAGTCAGTTACCTAGTGCATTTTACTTTTTACTAATGAGTTGCTGACTTTTGTTTGATTTGGAACACTGGAGAGCACCCTGCATTTACAAGTCTGCCCTTTAACAGACAAATCAGCCAGGTGGACTTTGCTCTATTAGTTTTGGTTCCTAATTTGTGGTAAACTCAAAAGGTGATAATGAGTCTCTTGGCCTGTTACAAAGCCTTCCTCTTCCTCTTTTTGTACTATCTCTGTCTTTCTTTGGCTCAATTTTCTTTCTTCCACTTTTTGTTAGGTTACTGTAGAGTATCAGTCTGTTTATTTGAGGAAGGAAGAGATGGAATGTATTGACCATTCATTGTGGAAACAACAGTCTCAGCTTTATCACTAGATAATTTAAGAAAATCCTCCGTCTGTCATTAGGTAATTTCATCTTCCCAATTTGCTTTTTAAGCTCCTATGTAAATGAATTACTACCAGCAAAGTTATAAAAAGAATTATAATTAGAGACAGAAGATATAAGTAATCCCTGACTATTTGACAATGGATTTCTTTTGGAGATGTTGAAAAGAATCATTAGCATCAATTTAAATGCTTATTTACTTTACGGAGGTTAACTATGAAGTGACCTTTGAGGAAGGGTGTGTTTTAGAAAGTTAAGCACCAAAATTGGGTCTGTTAGCTCTTTGGAGAATAAATTTAAAATAAATTACTCAGTTTATCAAGGAACTGACCGTCCTACAAACTTCAAGAATTCATTAAATGACTTTGTCATTGTATTGAAAGTCATCATGGTACCTAAGGTTATCTAGATTTTCTCCTAGAGGAAAGGAGAAAGAGAGAAAGAAACATCAGTTTTGTTATTCCTCTTATTTATGCATTGATTGGTTGCTTCTTGGATGTGCCCTGATGGGGGGAAAAACCCACAGCCTTGACATACTGGGACAATGCTCTAACCAATTGAGATATCTGGCCAGGTGTGTTAGCTTTATTGTCTTTTGCCTTTCCATATAAACTTTAGAATTGGTATATTGATATCCACAAAATAACTTGCCAGGATTTTTATTCGGATTGCATTGATTCTCTGTGTCTGTCTGTCTCTCCAATTTTGGGGGTGGTGGTCTGTCCTGTGACTTTACTTCTCTGCCTGATTTAAGAAGAGTTGTTGATTTTTCAATTTGTTCAGCTTTTCACTTGTTAGGACAGAATGGGGACTTCTAAGCTTCTTATATGCCAGACCAGAAACTGCCTATTATCCTTTCCACATGTAAGGAAACCAAGGCACAAAGATATTTAGTTATTTGCTCAAGTCCCCCCAGCTACTATGTGGCAGAGCCATGACTTGAATGTAGGTGTTCTGGTTCAAGAGTCTGTGCTCTTAATCACTACACCATTGAGGAAAACAAGCAAGTCAGGCTGGTGGGGAATGAAGAAATATGTTTCCTTACGGTGAAATCTTTCATGTCTCCTAAGTTTACATTTTCAAAAAAATTTCTAAAACACTTAATTAAAGAAACACATGCCAGAAAGGTTGGCTCAGAAATAATGATTACTAAAACTTTCAGTAAATACAATAAGTAAACATTTTAGAGTAAAGGAAAAAAAACCACTCCTAAACCTGCCATTTTTACAGACTACATTTCAGCCCTTGTCCATCTTTGTGAATATTATACATTGGTATTATATATGCGTGTTCAACTTTTTCACTTAACATTGTATCATGAGAATTTTCTCATGTTTCCACATCTTTTTTACAAATTACATTTAATAGCTGTGTAATATTCTATCCTGGTGATGTTATGCTATAATTTACAAAAGCATTCTCTTATTGTTTAACACTTGATAATTAATATTTTTCTTTTACAATAATAGGTAATGTTGCACAATTGTTTCCCTTCCATTGACTGACTTCATTAGAATAGCCCCATAAATGTGATTACTGGGTCATTGGGTATGGGTAGATGTATCACTATTGCTAATTTTTGTCATATTAGTTTGTAGAAGAGTGACACAAATTTCTGGGCTTCTGGCATTGTATAATTATATAAAATACAATTATATAGAAAGCCTCTTAGATGCTAGAGCAGTGTGAATACCAGGAGGCTCTAAAATAGAACTCTTTCCATGAACTGATGCATGACTTCTTTTCAGATTTTCAGTATATGTTACAGGTAGCCTTGCAGATAGCAGACATTCCATACATATTTACTGAATTGATAAATGATAGATGAATGAATGAATGGATGAATGGATGGATGGATGACATTTAACTGATTCTTCCTAATTAACACACAGAAAGTTAGTGGCCGAGTTGAGATGATGTCTTGATTTATAACATAGAGCTCTTTTTCCCACCATAACTGTAGTGTTACTCTATTCACCAGGATTTGCTGTATATTTAGTATGTGTAAAGCATAGTTCTAGAAGCTGGGGGTAAAAAATAGAGTTCCATACATTATGGTCCTCACGGTTTGATCAAGAAACTAACACACCTCTCTGGATCAAGTTTTCATTTATAAAAAATGTACTGACCTCAGAAATACCTCTGGATTCTGTGACCTTCTGAACCTCTAAATTTCCCATTTCTAGATACTATGACTCTAGAAAAAGCTGATTTTAAAGAGCATTCTAGAGGAATGGGTGATTCAGGATAATGATAGGGAATTTTCTCGTTTTCCTTTTCCCCATCCATCCATCCATCCATCCATCCATCCATCCATCCATCCATCCTTTACCATTCATTGAATGCATACTAAACACCAAACACTATTATGTGCCAGGGGAAAAAGGGGAATAAGAGAAGTCCTCTTCTCTTAAAAAGTTTACAGTGCCAAATAGGAAGGTTTTTTGAAGAGAAATAGTTTTGCAACACAACAGTAATACGCACAGTGCTTATGTGTAGGGGAATGTGATGTGCTTACTCTACTATTCTAGCTCAAACTTAAATGGAGTGGTCTCTACTGCAAAAGTAGAGGAGGGAATCGGCTTATGTTTCGAGCTCTCCCTCTAAACGCTCCCAAAAGTTAATGGGAAATATCACTGAATCCTGTTGGTTTATCACGGGGAAAAATGCTTGTACCATACTTGCCAACGTGAAGATGAAAGAGGACCGATGCATGTGTACTCACCACTTCTCTTCTTCTACTTGCACTCCCACGGACTGGAACTTACTGGGTGCTTTATTTTCCCCTGCTTTCTCAGGCTCTTCAGCATCGTCCACCTAAAGAAATAACCAAATATGTAGAGGTGCTCCGTTTTAGTTATCTCACTTGAAAAACAAATGTTATACTTCATTAGAAACATCTGCACTTTACTAAATATTTTGGGATTTGTAACAGTTTTCTTCAATATTTTTGTATTTAATGAGAGCCATAACTATGTTATTATAACATGCACTTTGACTCTGATGCAACTTTAGTCATTCAAAAGGTTCTTAATAAGTGTCTATGATTCCTCCATAGATTTGTATGTATTTACCTGTGAGCACTATGTTGGAAGGGAGCACTACATGGTAATATGTTCTTGGAAGTTCTGAGTTGGCAGATAACAAAATATAAAAGAAGGAAGAGAATGAATTTATTGTAGTCAGAATGATTGGTATTGGGAGATTTAGGTATTTACCTCATTATGATAAACTGTAGAATATCTTCATTTATCCAGCCTCCCAAACTAAGGAATTGGCTTTGAATATTACTCCAAAGTTTCTAAATAGTTATGTATATATTACAGCTCATGTAGAAAAATGTGTCCATATATAACTGAGAGCCTATATGATAGATTAAGCCTAAGACAAATTTGAAATAAATTTTATGACTATTTAGAGCAAATAGATTTATTCCTCTCTTTTCCAATGCATTTAATAAATTATTTTCACTAAGTATAAAAGCAATTCAATGTAAGTTATATAAAATTAAAATACAGGAATATATAATGTAAAAGGCTAAAATCTCCCAAGAATTACTGTCAATAATTTGATGCATATTTGACCACCTCTTAATATATATAATATGTTACATATAAAAATGATTATTAATACTAAATTTACACAGATGAGATTATACTATATATATTTTTCTGCAACTTGTTTTATTCATTAACACTGGTATGATTTGGACATTTTACCATGTTAGTAAATATAGGTCTAACTCAACCTTTTTTTTGGTTACCTAAATATTTCTTTTAATGACCATGTAAGCAGCATGGGCATCAAGGTAATTTTCTTGTTTTTGCCATTACACGTGGTACCACAATTTATATGTATCTTTAGAACAATTGTCAGCTTGATTGGGAAAAAATTCTTAGAAGTAGAAATGTTAAATGGAGGATACTGAGTATGTTCAGCTGTAAAAGATACTGCCAAAGTGCTCTTAAAAGCATTTATCATCCTGCCATAATCAGTGTGGGCGTATCCATATCCCTACACCCTCATCAATACTAAATACTAACAAACTTTAAAATTTTTGCTAATATCACAGGTCAAAAATATTTATTGGTCTCTTGGACTCCTATCTATAAATCGCCTATTCATATCTTTTGCTGTGTTTTTTTTTTTTTTTTTTTTTAATCTATTAAGTTGTGTTTTATTTTATTTATGGGATCTCTTTATGTCTTATGGCCCTTAATAAACCTTTCTCTCTTGTATGTACAGTAAATATTTTATTTTGTTTATTATTTGTCTTTTAAATTTTGTCTTTCATTATAGAGAATCTTTAATTACTACTTAGCCAATCTAGCTTTTATAGTTTAGAAAGGCTTCCTCTAACCTGAGTGTATATTTTAAAGTTCTCTTGTATTTACTTTTAGCCTATCATTTTTTTTATGTTTAATTTTTAAATCCACTATCCTGAAATGTTTTTGTGTAAGACATAAAACATTCTTTTTATATCTACTTTTAGAGATCTAACGTTCTCTCCCTTCTCCAACAGATCACCAAGTGATGATCTGGCTCTTACTAATGAATCTTTTTTATTTGAGATGCCAACTTTATCATGTGTTATTCCCATAGATATAAGCCTGTTTTTGGTCTACTGATCTACTGATCTTATGGCTTCTCTCTCTCTCTCTTTCCAAATAGAATTTCATAATAAATTTTGATATTTTCTACAGCATGTCTTATTCTGTAATTATTATTTTTTAAATGTAATTTAACTCCAAAAGTCTTTAGTTATTTTGAGGTGTTAAAATCTTCTAAATAAACTTGTTTTTAGATATTAGATAGGTGTAATATATTCTTTGTGAAGTTTAATTCTGTTGTTTTATAATATTTATTACTAATGTGAATGGACTTTTTTTGCTCCATTACATTTTCTGTTTATTAATAATATATTAAGCCTGGCTGGGAGTGGCTCAGTAGTTGAGCATCAACCTAGGATCCAGGAGATCAGGGTTCGATTCCCCATCAGGGCACGTGCTCGGGTTGCAGGCTCGATCTCCAGTTGGGAGTGTGCAGGATGCAACCAATCAATGACCCTCTCATCATTGATGTTTCTATCTCTCTCCCTTTCTCTCATTTCCTCTATCTGAAATCAATAAAGATATATTTTTTAAAATAAATAAATAAAAATAATATATTAAAGAGTTATTGATTTTTCTGTATTTATATTGCACTCTTTGACATACTGAATTCTAGTAGTTTTTCAGTGGTTTCTGTTAGATTTTCTACATGGACATGTATTATCTGCAAATAAAAGCAATTTTGCTCTTCCTTTACAAAATATTTTTTAAATACACATCTAGTTCTTAGAATATGCCAAGTACTGCTCTAAGTGTTTTGCTTATTTAATCTTTTCAACAGTCTATGAGGTTAGTGATATAATTATCCCCATTTTACATATAAGATTACAGAGAATGGGGAAACTGAAACTTAGAGAGGTTGAACAACTTGTTGGAAGTAACATGGTAAATGTAGGAGCCAGAATTTCAACACAGGCAATTTGGCTTCGGAATCTATGCTCTTAACCACTTTGTAAATCTACAAATTATTTTCCAATATAAGGACATTTTTATGAATACTAAATTGAACAGTTAATAAACTTGGCATAATGGGATGCTTCAGATACATTCACCATTTATTAACTTACATTTTCAGATTTTTACTTTGTATTTTTTAAATTTTTCTTTTAAAAAAATATATTTTAGAGAGAGAGGGAGAAAGAGAGAGCAAGAAACACTGATTTGTTGTTCCACTTATTTATGAATTCACTGGTTGATTCTTACATGTGCCCTGACCTGGGATAGATGCATAGATGTATCGTCTCTCTTACCCAACTTAGCACCCAGCCAGGGCTTTCCCCTTTATAATTATAGGCAGATTTTTTTTTATTGTGGTAACATATATAAGTAAGTTTCCATGTTAACCATTTTAAAATGCACAGTTCCTGGGGCACTGAATACACTCATGTTGCGCTGCTATCACCACTACCCACCTTCCTAATTTTTCTGTCATCCCGCAGTGACACTCTGTACCCCCATGGGAAGCTGGAATTAGTAAACTTAGTTCTCAAAATAATCCTATGAGGGACTGAGGAAGAGAGAGGGTCAGGAAGATGAAGTCATTCTCCTAGGAGACACAGAGGACTGAGCCCTGCTCTTCCCCACTCCCCCAAATCCTGCGGTGACGGAGGGGAATTAGCTCCTAGGGACCTGGGGAGGCCTGGGGCGAGGCTGGCTTTGGGCCCGTGCCTCCTGCTGTGCCATTTAGTCCCAGCACCCTGGCTAGGAATTCTTTTAGGAACTTGACAACTTGTGTTATGGTAACCTGCAGGTTATAAAAAGCATTTGACTCATCACTATTAGAGAAAGTTTAACTACCCTTTAAAAGTGGACTCTGCAGAAATGGTCTGTAAAAATACATCATTATTGGAAAATGAACCCCACACCTGGCTTTTATGTGCCCTCGTGTTGGTTCAGCGTGGACAGATTTATTAGACACCATGTCAGGAAGTTATTATTCAAAGGGCACCTGCAGAATAGTAAACACAACAAACTGGGAGAAAAGAATGACTCTTCCCCATTGATAGGAGGAAATTTCTAGCAGGGTAAGCCAAGCTGAACAGAGGTGAAAAACAAGAATCAGTTTGATGTTATCTTTGAGGAGCAGAAAACAGTGAACTGAACTGAGAAGCCTGATGAATTTTCTACCATTTTTATGAGATGCTTGATTAAATAGCCAACAATGACACTGAAACGGCTGTGCATTCCTTCCTCCTGATGCTGTGAGGTGAGTAACTGCTTTCCACACCATCAGGCTCTTTGGTCTTGCCCTCCCTCCCTCCCTCCCTCCCTCCCACGTCTATGAGGAGTGACTCACATTTTTGTTCTCATCTGGTTACTCAAGGGTGTTGAACATACTGTAACACAACCCGACAACCCAGGTTATTCTTGGATGTCCACTCCTTTGTTGAGAATCAAAATGTGCGTTAGGAATTGAGGGCACTTTGTGTTTGACTGTGTTCATGTTTGTTTAATTATCCTACACTTTGAGTCACACATTCAATTTAGAGAACAAAAACAATAGCTGCTATCTATAGACACAATGCCTTCATGATTTTTGTTCATTGTGCTTAACTATTTAGGGAGTCCAGAGCCAATAATTTGAAACTCTGGTCCTAGGCATAGCTATATCATCCAAAATGGCAAGACAGCAAATCTTCTGGGAAAATATAAAGTCACATGTCTGAGTTTTGGGTTCTTAATTCAAAGGATGGAAAGGGAGGCGATTACCTGTATCCCAATAGACAGGCATCGGTTTTTCTTAAAGTGATCCTTCTTCCTGTCCTCTGTGGCGACGGTGGCTACGGTGGTGGCGGCGGTGACGGTGGCGGGGTTGTTGCCCATGTGTTGACTTGCAGGGCCGTGGATCTGGGCATTTGCGGCTTCGATGGCGGCTGTCAGAGCCTTCATACTGTCCAGGCTCTCCGTGGAGTTGCTCAGTCCAGACTGGCTGATAATATCTCCTCGCTGGCCCTGTCCGTCCATGTAGGCGTCCTGGGCAGACTCTGTGCTACTCTGGGCTGTGATAGAAATGAAAGGTTTCGTGGTAGTTCTGGGTGGGACTGGAGGTGGTGTCTTCTTATATGTTGTAATGCAAGATGACACTGGAAGACAGTGAAAACAAAGACACTGTGATTTCTGCATGGGTTTTACTTTCTGATATTGCAACTGACATTCATTGGAAATTAGGGCACGTGAAACACACTAAGACATTTAACATGAACACAAGTCCATTGACAGACTGAGTGAGATTCCTGCTTGGGCCCTTAGGGCCCTCTGTGAGGTGACACCCCCACAAAACTGAGGGGACGTAAGACTGGAAAACACCAACCTCTGAGATGGAAGTTTCTGAAATGGAAATTAGTATGAATCAACATAAAATATACATGATTAGCCATCTGTAGAAATCTTCTCAGGCAACAGTGCACCCTGAGACATGATATATACACATGGATAAGGCCAGTCTCTGCCTTCTCAGGAAAATATCAAATATAAGTAATATTAAAGCAAGTAACCCATTAAGGAAGATTCTGATGGTTGATAATAAACATTGGAAAAAGAAGAAGGAAAGCATAGAGGTTGTGAGGATGTATAATCCTAATAACAGTGTGAGGTGCCTGGGAGGAGGTGGCGGGTGTACAGCATGTTATCATAGCTTCCTGCAATTTGCTTTTTATCAAGACCCAGTTTTCCCCTTCCTCCTCCCCTTCCTTCCTTTCTTCCCTCTTTCTCTTTCTTCCTTCCTCTCTCTTTCTTCTCTCTCTTTTCTCTCTCTCCTTCCTGGGTAGGTGCTCACTATTAAACTTTGTTCTGAATTTTTTGGTGGTTGTTTCTGAGCAGAACTACCTACCGAGAGGGATTACATTGCACCAAAGTCTCCTTTCATTGTAAAGTAAACGGTCGTGCTAGTTTATAAATCAGTCTCTGCGTGTGGTCGGTTAGGGTGCACTCCCTAATGTGCTGTCCTTCAGGGCGACTTCATCACTCAGGCGCCTGCATTTGCCAGTGAGGGGTCCTCCTTGCACCTGTGTGGTTTAGTCGAGGTCCCCCGAGGCTCCCGCTCAAGCAGCCTCCACAGGCCCTCTCTCCAACCATCTGATTGTAACCCTGAGGGTCTTGAAGGAGCTTTACACACTGGTTTTCAGCTCTCCATTTGTGTAGCATGACAGGAAAATACAGATCAAAACGAAGCATTAAGTGTCCAAGGGGGAACTCCCTGCCAGTAAAGAACAATTCCTTAACCAGCTTTCTAAAGACTTTTGGTTAGTCCCTTTAAAACTTGGTTCAAGCTATGGGGTTTCCATACTTTCTCCCTGCCCCACTGCCACGCCCAGCCCATCGTGCCTTTTCTACTCAGCCGGCGTCACTGCTGCTACGCCAAACCAGCTGGGCCTGACCGCACAATCCCACCTCCTCACCTCTGGCTCTAACTGGCACTGACAGGTCGTCTTGCAGAAGGAGATGCTCGCTGCAATACTTAGGATGTTTCCCGAGGCCACTCAAAGGAAGCACCCGATAATGAACAACAAACAGAAAGGCCCTATTATACTGTCCTGCGTTTCCACTGCCCTGTGATTCAGAGGAATTTCCTTAACGGTAAAGACATAGGGACAGAGATGTTTGGCTACTTCCCAGGGATTGCCTGACAGTTGAAGGGAAACCCCCCGCACAGATGTCACATTACAATATCATATGTGCTGTTGGGTAAAGGGGGGAAGGTAATGTGAATAATACATATGTCACCTCTCAGTTACCTGGGATAGATGCTGGTGGAGGTTTACCCCAGGAAAACCTTCCATTTAAGATTATTGAATAAAACACACAGCTTGACATTGGAACAGAGCTCAACAATTAGTCCTGAGAGGTAACGCGAAAGGCGGAGGCTCACAGTGCCTCCAAGGAGAAGAACCAGTCTGGTCTCAGGCTTTCCCACAGGCCACAGTGAAGCTCTGGCCAAGCAATGCAAGCAGGAGCATTGCCGATATTTCACCTCACTCAGTTCAGTTTCATGCACCGTCACTACCTTCAGCTTCCTAGGAAGGTCTGAACAGGACAGCCTCGCTCAGGCAATGCTCAGTCTCAGGCACCCATCTGAAGACCAGAGTGGGTGAGAGGACGAGTGACCGTAATTAGGACAGAATCTGTCTGTTGTAATCAAATGAGACTAGGTCATTTTATTACTTCTCCTAAAACAAGTCTTTACAGAGTGAACTCATTATTTTCTTCAAGATGGATTCTCAGGACATATGACCCGCTCACAGTCCAAAGAAACTCAATGCCGCATTCCAACATCAAATGTCTGATATTTTGGATGATTTACTGCTTGTGGCTAGCTACCCCAATTTCCTCTTTTAATGTGGATGGTCAAAACTAGACAATGCAGACAAACAATAAAATTTCATTTGCTGTGATTTACAGTAAAAATTCTGCCACGATGTGATAAATGTGATATGGAGTTGGAGGGGCACATTATTTCTGTTGTAATGACTGGGCTTGGAGACACTCCCCAGCGCTGATTGCAACTTGGTGGCATCCACGGGCTGTTGCCAGCTCCTCTTCGATACCCACAGGAATAACTATGGGTACCCTGAAGGGAAACGAATTTTGCCACCTGGAAGCTGCTTTTTGGGATATTGATCTTAAGCTGTTTATTATGAAACAAAAGGCTCAGAAAGAACCTTTGCCCTTCCCCCCTTTCCTGCCCAGGAGATTCAGACAGAGAAACCTGCTGTGGGAAAGGAGCCTTGCCTTAATCACCTTAAGAATCTTCACCTTAGCAGGAAGACTCCAAGCCTCTTAGCTAGGCAGCCCCTGTGTCCCATTGTTTCTGAGTTCCCTAGCAAGAATTTGCCTGCCCAGTATGTTCACCTCTTCCTCAACTACCTGTAAATTGCCCATGCTCACTTCTGAACGCAATCCCTCATTGCCCCTTCCCTTTTCTCCCTTGTTCAGAAATGTCTTATACACTCAATGTTGCCTCATGGTCTTTCATGGAATTTTCATGCCTATGTGAATTTCCCATCCATTTGTATTAAAATTTTTGATTTTCTCCTGTTAATCTGTCTCTTAATTTGATTATTGGCCTAGCCAGAAGACCTTAGAAGGTGGGAGGAAAAGTATTAAAATTGTTTTAGCCCCACAGTACTTTGATCAATGGGGACTTCCAGAGGCAGCAGCAGTGCCAGAAGTCCACCATGCTTAGATTGGACAGGGAGAATCCTGGGGACTTGTCTTCCCTAACAGGCTGGCCCAGCCCCAGTGCCCAAAAGAGGTAAGAGCTTAAGATTGTCCCACCTTGAATAAGGGGGCTGAATAGAGGACAGGAACCGTGAGCCATACTTTCTCCCAGGGGCTTTATGGTGACGTTTTACTGCAGTGTGGAGCTTGGCATAATTCTGCCGAAAGAGTCACAGTCAAGGTAGCACCACCTGTCAGTCATCAAACAGGAACAGGAGTTCATATCGCTAAGGCTGCCTTTTGAAGCAGAAGAACGAAGATCCAACACGCAGCTCACAATTCTCACATTCCCTTCCTTCTCATGCCCCAAATCTTCTGCATTCAAGGTTGCTCTAGAAACTCTTCCTCCAGTTTTCCCCAGCATCACTCTTTCCTAGTGTTTCAGGCTCAGCCCTAAACTCGCTTCTCTTCTTGTTTTTTAATTCTACTCTCATGATAAAACACCAGGAATGACTTAGAATCCACTGAGGTCTGAGTGTCAGGAAGAGTATGGTAGAGGAGGGTGAAGCACATGCTAATAAATCTTATCTGGTCAAAACAGACAGAGAAATGAGTGGCTTATAGATAGTAAGCGAAATACTTCATTTGTTTATGAGTAACATTCTCAAAAAGGTTGATTTCAAATGCAAGTGCTCCTTTTGTTCACGTGGAACTTGAAAAAAACGAGATGTTGTATTTAATCATGATTATAGCTTTCTTTTTCTCTGATAGGTTTATTTGTTCATTTCCATTTAAAATGGTTTTTTCCCCTTCTCTAGGTCCTGATGATATACTACCCCAGCTCAAAGTTGACTGAAAGGACTCCCATCCACTTATAAGAAGAGCCATCAGGAGTGGGGTGCCAGATTTCACTGACATCACTTTCATTCAGATGCTACTGCAGAGCACAGAGACACATCTAGTTGGGTTTTACATTTGAGCTGGGAAGTTATTTTTTAAAAATTTCACACAGGAAACAAATGAGAACAAATTCCTATCTATTTCAGCTTCTGTATTATAATATATACTATTATATATTGTCTCTATTTGCATAGAAAGTTAATGCTAGTGTTGTAAGCCTTAGGAAGGCCTGTGTCAGAAATTAGTTTTTTCTGTAGCAGGGAAGGTTTTCTGGAAAAACATGTAGACTCTCTCACTAGTCTGTTTATCCTTTGCAATCAAGAGCGCACATATGTCAGGTGGCCACGAAATAGATGTAGGATCAAACCCACTTTCTTTATCTTCTTATTTATGGGTTCTTACTGGCTAAGCTAATGGGTCACATACTATAAAGCTATGTTGAGGAATTAGCAGTTCTTGGTTGCTAAATTTTTAGAAAGAATTTTGAACACAAGAACAAGCCCATAAAAGTCAATTGTGCACATCTTCTCCCAAGTCCGTGTTCATTGACATTTCATTGGTAGCTTGAAACTGACCTTGGTATGAGTATTTACACCATGGAAATTGGCAGATACTGTAAACCAGTAGGTGTCCCCCTGGAGAGCCCACTGCGAAGCATTTCTAGCACATCTCTGTGTATGGAGGTACTACATTACTTAAAATGTAGTCCACACACAGTTGTTGATTCACAAACTATTTGATGAGTGCATGAAAATTGACAGTAAGTTTTTAGAAACTTTTCTAGCAATTCTACAGAATAGTTTGTCAGTTGATTTTAATAACTGTGGTCTTGTTTTTGTGTGCTTTTTTTTTTTTTTAATTTCCTTTTCCTATAATTCATTTTCATTGCGTTTTACCAAAGTATTGTTCGCAACAGATTGAACATCAAACAAACAAACTGATCCATCACTGGAGACAGTTTGAGGAGAATAAGCCAGGTAGAGAAAGACAAACATCACATGATCTCACTTATATGTGGAATCTAAAG